GAGGGACAAGGGGCTGAGAGCTCAACAAAGAGAGGCAAAGTTCTAGGGGACGCTGGGGATGGCATCCAGGGACTGGGGAAGGTAAAGAAAGTGTCAAGGCAAGTGTGGGAGAGGAAAGAGCACAGGCTTGGTTGTGGGAATGGGTTGAAGATGTTCTCACTGAGGTTTCTATTTCTCTGTTAGTGCAAGGCAAGAATATCTGTTAAGAATGAACTTACTCTCAGGGTGCCTGGGTGGCTCAGAGGGTTAATCCTCTGCCTTCGGCTTGTGATCTCAGGGTCTTGGGATCGAGCCCCATCAGGCTCTCTGCTCAGCGGGGAGCCTGCTTCCTCCTCTCTCGCTGCCTCTCTGCCTACTTGTGATCTCTGTCTGTCAAATAAATAAGTAAATAAAATCTTTAAAAAAAAAAAAAGAATGAACTTACTCTTTTCCTCACAGTTAAAAAAATCCAGAGTAAAACAGGATTTCATTTTTTTACCTATCAGATTGGCCAAAATAAAAATATTCACTAAATCCACCCCACTATGAAGGATACCTTCTTTAATCCATTTCTTTTGCCCATGGGAGAGTGTCTACTAGGGAAAATGTGTAGCAGTGAACTTGCACTCTGTTCACGTCCCAGACGGTTCATTTTACTGATCAAGGTGAATGGCCACAGGGTCCTAGACGAAGCATTACTTCTGGGTGTGTCTGCGAGGGTGTTGCCAGATGAGATTAGCATTGGAATTGGTAGGCTAAGTAATGTAGATTGTCTTCCCCAGTTTGAGTGGTCATCATCTAATACCGTGAGGGCCTAAACAGAACAAAAGGCAGAGGAAGGAGGAACTCGCCTGTGGGTTTGTCTTGCCTCACTGCTTGAGCTGGCGTGTGTCATCTTCTCCTGTCCCGGGACTGGGACTGAGATTTACACCATCAGCCACTCCCCGCCCCGTTCTCCCCCAGGTTCTCAGGCCTTCATATTTGGCTGAATTACACCACTGGATTTCCTGTGTCTCCAGCTTAGACAGCATATCTCAAGACTTCTCAGTCTCCATAATCATGCAACCAATTCCTCATAATAAATCTATTTGTCTATATAGATCCTATTGTTCTGTTTCTTTGGAGAACGCTGACCAATATAATGTCCTTGCCCATTTTTCTACCAGGTAGTTGGTCTTTTCCCTATTGATTTTTAAGAATGGAGAAGATTTGAAGTAGGCTTCACAGAAGAGAGAAAAGAGCTGAAGAGGGCTGGTGTTCAGGGCAGCGGCCAGGCTCCTCCCACGCTGCTTCCGAAGAAGCTGAGTACAGAGCTCTGCAGGCCTCCTCCAATTGAATAGATTTTCACTGAACTGCCTGTTTGCAGCCCTGGCCTGTGATTTCTTTCTCCTACAGGTTTACAATTCCCTGAGGCCATTGCTGACCAACAGGCCTTCAGTCAGAGTAGGAAGGAAGGAAGGCCCTATTCTTTGAGTTCGCTGTGGGAAGGTGGGAGAAACTTGGAAAGCCTGAATAAGCTCCAGGAATGGACTTAGGGACCTCCTTGCTGGGTCTTGGGTTTTACTCTGGGAACCAGTTTCTCGTACTTGATCTAAAGTCCAGACTCCGAATGAGCCAACCCATGTCAGCTCTGCTGGACACTGTCCTTCTGGACGCCACTCTTGATGCTGCCTGCTCCCAGCTGGGTGCCTTCATAGGTCCAGTGACAGTGGGTCTCTTTGTCCACACACAGTCCTGGGCCCGAGGGCCACACAGCCAAGGACTGAGGAGGCTGAGGATGGAGGGTGGGTGGGACCAGCTTCCTCAGCTGGTAGTTGTCTCCCTCCCACCCTTTTGCATTTTTCAGAGTCCCACAGATGGCGTTCAGAGCCTGGGGAGTGCAGAGGGGCCAAGTTATGGAAAAGGAAATGGAAGACCCAGCAAGTCCCCTTTCCTGGCGCAGAACTTCGAGCTTCCGGCTACTCATGAAACCTCAAAGTTGTGTGCATTCTTTTGTAAGGTGTCATCACAACATTCAAATCATGCAGCTAAAAATGGCCTAAGTAATAAAAGGATAAAAACACATTTCAATCATTTATTAGCACACGGGATGTGCCAGGTGCTGTGCTAAAAGGTTTTGCATACATTGGCACTTAAACAACCCTGCAAGAGAGTGACCATTACTATCCCCATTTTACAGATGACAAAAGTGAGGCTTAGGGCTGCTAAATGAATCTCCCTAAATCACATGGCAAGTAAGTGGCAAAGCAGGCATTTGAACTTGGCGCTAACATGGAAACTCGTAAACCCAACGTTAGGCTCCAGCATCGGACGTCCTGCTGGTGCCCCATCAGTGCAGCTGTGGCTGGGGAGGCCCCGACTGACTGGCAAGTATTTGACGTTGTTCAATGCTCTGCAGATTCCGGTTTTCCTAAAAGTCCTACCTAAGAGTTCTGCCCCAGGAAACTCAGACCCATCCCAGGGTTTCACAAACAGACCCACCTTATTAAACAGACGCTTTTCCTGAGCCACCTGAGTGAGCCTCTCTTGTCTGGTGACCAGATGAGGGATGTGCCCTGGGTGGACGATGGCTCCCCCCACTGCAATAATTATGAAAAGGGACATTCACATCATGGTTCCTAATATTCAAATTCATTGGAAAGGCTAGCATTTTTTAGCTAAACTTTATAACCATTGATTTTAGATTCCACTTCTTTAATTAAAAATAATTTCTTGCCCCCACCTCCTATCTAACCCTTTTGCTTGTGAGTGGAGGTTTTTTTTTTTAAAAGATTTTATTTATTTATTTGACAGGCAGAGATTACAAGTAGGTAGAGAGGGAGGCGGGGGTTGGTGGGAGGCGGGAAGCAGGCTCCCTGCTGAGCAGAGAGCCCGATTTGGGGCTCGATCCCAGGGCCCTGAGATTATGACCCTAGCTGAAGGCAGAGGCTTAACCCACTGAGCCACCCAGGCACCCCGTGAGTGGAGGTTTAAGCTTGGAATCCCAGCATTCATGGGGCTTTGACTTCGAGCTAACAGATGCTGGGGTGCAGACCCGTTTCTAGAATCCAGAGGGAGGTGTTATTTTCTTTTTTGACCCTCTTGATGGCTGAAGGTGCTAACCATGTCACTATGTAGCAACTGAAAAGGAAATTGAGAACAAAGAAAAAAAAATGACCCACCCCTCAACCCACTGTTTAAAAGGACAAACATTCAAAACATGTGGACTGTGGAATTTTTTAAAAACCTTTCACTTCATAAATTTTGTTAATGAGAGGTCTCACTGAAACTTTTTTTATTGTTTAGGTTGATGCTGATCTGAAAGGATCACCTTTCTTTGTAATATGCACTACTGTAAGGGACATTTATGAAGACTGAACCGCACAGAAAGGAGAAGATGTTCCTACCAGCAAATTATTCTAGTCGGTTAACTCCTCCAAAAGATTGGCAATTTTGTTAAATTGTTCCAATATCTGCTTCCCCTTTGTCTCAAGAACCCAACATTTAGAAAATTCCTTCGAAATGTCTTAAGCTACAAGTACTGCATGCTTTCTGAAATGCTAAAAATGCCAAAATAGTACTTTGATTTTCAGTGCTCCCTCTCCACTGCAAGTCCCAAGTCATTATTATAAATGTCCTCAGAGTGGGGAGAAATGAAGGTTTTTTTCCATGGGTAGCATAGGTGACTCCAATCATAATTTTTGGTTACTAATAAAGAAAAGTGCAGCCAACTGAAATGGCCCAAAATAAATTGTTGTTGAAACTAGCATTTTTAAAATTGGTATAGTTGGAATCTCAAAGGCTTAGAACTAATTTACAAAGGGTAAGTCACAGAGGAAGCTCAAAGAGGCCTCACCTTCCAGGCTGGCATCAAGGAGCACAGCTTGGCTTCCCCCCGGGGTGGTTCCCTTTTTGAGCAGGACAACAGGGACTGCCTGTGTGGGGCTTCCAAGCTTGAGGAATATACTTCTTAAAGTCCTTTATTAGTTTCTGGTTTTCTTTTCTCTTTCAAGGGGGGTAGGTATACAGGGGCAAATGAGGAAGGGGAGGGGCAGAATGGAAAATATATTGCCAAGTTAGAGAGACTTGATGGCATAATATCCCAATGGATGTGAACTAAATTTAATTAGCAACTGTACCCAAAGAAGGTTACTGCAAGAGGAAAATTCCAATTTGTGGAGTGCCAGGACTACGGAGGTCAGTAGCAACTCCTCTCAAGTTCTAAGAGCTGTTCCTCTGGTTCTCTCCCCTTCCCCTCTGCCCCAGCCCATCCTTATTCTTAGGCTGCACTGTGATATGATGTAAAAGAAAGCTATGTCTAAAGAACACGTCCTCCCCAGGAAAGGCATTACCTTGTCAGTGATAGAGGAGCCAAGAGTGTCTTTGGAGATATGGCCAAGTACAAATCTCAGTTGTCCCAGGTACAGGCTGTGTGATACAGTCAAAAGTACTTAACCTCTCTGTGTTTTAGAATGCTCATCTGTGAAGTAAAAACAATGGAACCTACTGTGTATATTTTTGAGTGTGACTGTGAAAAAGTACATAAATGCAAGCCTTTGGAGTCACACTGCCCAGATTCTCATTTTTCCCTGATCATATTCCCACTGTGTGTTTTCATATAAGTAACTAACTTATATGTGTCTTCTATAAACATTTCTTCATAAGGTCTTTTAAAAATTAAATGAGGGGTGCCTGGGTGGCTCAGTGGGTTAAAGCTTCTGCCTTTGGCTTGGGTCATGATCCCAGGGTCCTGGGATTGAGCCCCTTTTGGGCTCTCTGCTCAGCGGGGAGCCTGCTCCCCTCCCCCACCTCTCTCTGCCTGCCTCTCTGCCTACTTGTGATCTCTCTCTGTCAAATAAATAAATAAAATCTTTTAAAAAAAATTAAATGAGATGTTGGTACACCCCTTTGCAGATAAGTACCTGGCACAGAGTAAAATGCTTAATAAATATTAGCATTATTATTATTGAATAACATGTGTAAAGTGCCTAGGATTTAGCCAGGAAGGTATGTTCTATAAATGGTTAATTATACTTACTGGTTCAGGGGCACCTGGCTGGCTCACTCAGTAGAGCATGCAACTCTAGATCTCGGGGTCATGAGTTCTCACCATGTCAGCTGTAGAGATTACTAAAAAAAATAAATAAACTTAAATTATATCTTCTAGTTCAAAAGCTATAACTCGTACATTTTGATACATCTTCAGTTATTCAAGCTAAATACACAGGAACATCTTTCTGTACTTTTTAAACGTTGTATTGAAGTATGTAACATGCATACAGTAAAAGTGCAGACATCTCAAGTATAAATTTAATTATATATTAACCCATGACTTTAAAAGCAAGAAATATCTCTGCTGAGTCTGTCAATTAGAAGAAAGATTACTTTATCTAATTAAAATGACAGTTTTAATCAGAGAGAGAAAACCAGAAATGCAACACAGAAAAAAAAAAATATATATATATATATATACCAACAAACAGCACACATTTCATTCACATAATTACCCACCATCCTCACTCATATTTACATATTTCCTTGGATTCACTGGAACACTGGCAGTTGCCAAGCAGAGGTGACCATTTCTGAAAAGTGCCTGTGAGTTTGACCTCTGGGGCACCTGGCTCAAAACCTTAAAAAAAATTTTTTTAATTGATTATATCTTGCAGGAAGTTCAACAGCTTCTCTTGAAAAACTGACAGACAGATGTTTTGCAGCTGAGTGAAGCAGGAACACCAGTACTCCCTGGCTCTGAAAATTCTTTATTCTGAAAGAGCTGTCTGCATTCACCCATCACAAGCAAATGACAATTGCTCTTAGAGACTCCTATACCTAGCAGTCGACGTGTTTATTTTGACAGTGATTCTAAAGCTCATTCTGATTTCCAAAACATTCAAACGTGAAAAAGCAAGTGTCTTAAAATTGAGGAAACATCATTTTGATACTTTGCGACATACATTTCACCAACAGCAATACAGGTTTTCTATGTGTGAAAAACAAAAATAAAACTGTACCAGACACTGTGATGAGTACTCCACTTGGCTTCCTATTTTGGGAGCTAAGTTGTACTAGGAGCAGGAGATTCAAAGGGACAAGTCCCGAGTATCTTCTTAAAGCAACTTATCTTTCATATTAATCATCATCATCTCTAAAGCACTATGCTTATGTACATTATCTCCCCTAGTCTTTACAAAAGTTCTGCCCATTTAGTATTTTTATTTTTATTTACACACAATGAAACTGGGGCTGAAGGAGATCACTGTTTAAGCTAACTCATCTAGATGGAAGATCATTAATTTGAACCCAAGCCTGTCAGACTCCAACGCTTAGACCCTTCAAGTCCACACAAGCTTCTGCAGTTGTAAGCTGGTACGTACATTTAGTACATAAAATGACACCAAAGATCTTTTGGGGATAGGAGGCATAGAAAGAGGGTAAGTATTTATATCCGTGTGTGTGTGTGTGTGTGTGTGTGTGTACACACAAACACAACATTTCACTGGGGAATTTCCTTTCACTGAAGCCGCATAAAGCATAAAAACCTCACTTGCTGTACACAGCTGGACAGAAGAAGGTCAGACTGAATTAGTGAAAAGTATGAATTGTAAATTCATTTTAAATAACACGGATTTTCGTAATACCGTATGAATTTCAAAATGGGTTCCCACCCATTGTCTTCTTTCACGTTCCTAAGAAGCCCCTGAACTAGGCAGACATGATGTTATCAGCTTCATGTTACAGGCAAGAAAAGCAAGGCCTGGAAGAAGTTAGGTGCCTTGCCTATGGTCACAGAGCTATTCGGTGATAAACCCACAGCTCCCTCTTCTGCAGGGTGACCTAACAAATTCCTTCTGAATTACCAGATAATTATTGGATAAGGATGATATGTGTTCTTATATTAATTATTCATATATGAGATTGCCTGAAGTGCTCAAAGATGTATTTCAAACATTCCCCTTGTAAGCTCATTTACATCGCTCTTCTGTACTACTTAGGAAGACAGAGTTTGCTAAATGAAGGAAAATTTCTGCCCAGATCCCAATCAAGTTATTATAAATTCCAAATTAATAGGGTCTAAATAAATAAGAGCTTATTATGGGGCTAAAAGCTGATAATGTTATTTGTTTCTGCTATCTTTTCTCATTTGCTTCAGTTCCAATTGGAGTATTTTATCTACTGCCTACTTTCTTCTGTTTCCTCATTAGAGAAATAGGGCAAGGGAGGCACACGAGTAAAGAGTTACTCGTATATGAATAAAATTAATAACCTAAAATTAGAGAAGGGGGCGGAGAAGCATCTTTTTGGCAATTTATCATAATGTTCAGTAACAGCAGTTTGCAGTAATGCAATAACTGATCTTCACTTCTCCTGAGTATGTGTTGCGTTTATCCGTTTATGCTTTACTTACATTTTTTCATTACTCCAGTTGTTAAATTATTTAAACTTAGAAGACAACTTTTAACTTATTAACAGTAAGGCAGTCTTTTGAAATGAGAGTCATGCAAATAATTATTTCATTTTTTTAATCCAGATTTTTGGGAAACAAGGTTTGGGGTTTTTTTTAGATTTTATTTATTTATTTGAGAGAGAGAGAGAGAGAGAGAGCACACAAGCAGGAGAGAGGCGGGCAGAAAGGCAGGTAGAGAAGCAGACTCCCTGCTGAGCAGGGAGCCCAATGCAGGGCTCTATCCCAGGACTCTGGGATCATGACCTAAGCGGAAGGCAAAGCTTAACCAACTGAGCCACCCAGGTTCCTCAGGAACCAAGATATTTTTTGTCACTTACCCTGGGATTTATAGGCACTAAAAAGCTCAAGATCTTTTACCACCCAGGACAGGGAACTCAGCTTGAAGGACTGTGAGAACTTATCTCTCTAAAATAAACTTTATATAAAAGTCATCTGGGTAGAAATGTGGTTTTCCTCATGCTGGGTTTCCTCACACTTCTGAAGGAGTCCTCAGGGATTAAGATGAGTGAGAGACAGACCGATTGCATGAAAGGCCCGGTGCTCTTAGAGCTATTTCCTCCATGATTAAAAAATAATGAATTTTTGTTTGCTAGGTGCAAGGAATAAACACTCCTGGATTCCCTCTGTTCTGTCGTTCTCCCTCTGGTCTACAAACACGCCACAAAGGCTTCTCTGTTCCTTCCCTCAATCACATTTCTCATTCAGACGTCCTTCCTGTTTGGGGCTCTATTTCTTACTTCCATTTGGTTCTTTCCTTTCCTGCATGGGCTTCTAAGTTTGTTGGTGTTCAGGTTTCTCACATTTTTTCTATTTTTGAATTGTTTCTCTCTGCAGGACCATCTCTATGTCTCACTTCTTTATCACGTTGCTCCCTTTTTTGTATCAGGTATTATTCATCGTCTTTGTTTCTATTTATTTCTCTTCTTCTAGCTCTGATTTCTTTATCTCTGCGCCCCTTGTTTCCTCTCCTTGATTCTCCTGTTCCCATCTCGATGCCCTTTGACCAAACACCCCTTCCCTACCCCCGACTTAAAGCCGACAAAAGAAGTGTTCCATCTAGCCTGGAAGAGAAAGGACAGAAAAGCAAGAGAATAGAAAGGTGGTGGACTGAACCCGGGAAGGGCAAGTTTAGTCATACTAATGACTTCCCCATCCTCCCAGGGTCCCTGGGGCAGTCTCCTCCACTGCCTGCAAGTGTCACAGCCAGAGACTGAGGCAACACAAAGGGAAGGAAGCAGGAGGAAGTCAAGGTGAGTGCTGGGGCAGCGACAATGGACAAACACGAAGTTGTTCCTTAAATACCAGCCAGGTCAGCATTCATCTGAGACACTACGAAATACGAGTACGTTTAAAGTCTGGAGCCACTCAGATCAGCTTCCCGGCAAGCTAGAACCCAGCTTCTCTAGAACCAAAAACCAAGGTCACAATAATCAGATACAGAAGGTAAGTATAATCAGTTTCCACTGGACCCTAAATTACTTTAAAACCACCTCTGGCGGGGAGCTAATGCCCCCCTCCAGAATACACATCTCCCTTCTGGAGACTTGGGTGTGACCCAGCCCCACTCTTGACTTTTTAAAATTTTTTATTTAAAAAATATTTCTAGATACGTTTATAAATAGATCACGCGTTTTAGAACTGCCTTGCAGCCCCTCAGTTGTACAGCAGAGGAAAAATCCATGACAGTCACCGCTGCGGGAAGTTGGCTTCTCTCTTATCCTTCAGGAAATAGAAGAAGAAGAAAAAAAGGAAACATAATTTAAGTTTTTAAAAGCCCAACGAACAACAAGCTCTCCGAAAAACAATGTCACCAGCACAGTAGCAGTAGCGAGACGACCAAATGTACAAACAACGTGACCTTTCCTCCTTCCCCTCCTGACACCTGGGCTGAGGAGGGTGGCTGAGGGTGGCCAGGGCGGGTCCTGGAGCATTGTGCAGAGCTTAGTGGGGGGCAGCAGGGGCCAAGGAGATGCTTTTCATTTCGCGTTAGAGCGCTGCTGGGGAAGGATGATGACAGAGCTGACTTCGTTTTTCCTTTCTCAGGCAGGTGTCAGTGTGTTGATTTTGAAACTCAGTACCAAGGAAAACACCTCGTCTGTTCAAAATCTTCAAAATAACAACAAACTTGCACTTCTCACGTGTTTTTTTATTTTGACAAAAGAAGTCTTTTTTTCTTCTTTTTTTTTCTTTTCCTTTTTAGGGTGAGGTAAATAGGGGGAAATTACCCTAAATTTGTAACATTTTTTGCTAGGATCCTCTCTGATGTCAGTCCTTCTGCCGCTCCCACCCTGGCCTACTCTTAAGACAAAGGAGAAAAGAGCTGGGTCTCAGGACAATGAAAACAAAGGCTCAGGGCTGAGGCCTTTGTCCAGCCTTGGCACAGACTGAGGTTGGGTGTGAGCAGAGCCCATCTCTGGTAAGGCAGCTTTCACCTGGGGTCTGCCCGCTCAGGGCTGCCTTCACGAGGGGACCCTTTGGTCCAGGGACTTCTCTCTAATAATATCTGAGGATTTGGGGGTTTGTTTCCTGGCTTCTTTTTTTTTTTTTTTTCCTTTTAAGATTTTATTTATTTATTTGACAGAGACACAGCGAAAGAGGGAACACAAGCAGGGGAATGGGAGAGAGTGAAGCAGGCTTCCCTGCAGCAGGGAGCCTGATGGGA